CTCCAGACTGCTACAGGCTGCTCTTCTATGTGAACGCATCTTAGATGACATCAAGTGGTTCAGACTGTGCATCAGCAAGCTGCTTCCACCTGGCTTACCTGGTGTCACTGTCAGAAAGGTGACCAGAGTGGGGAACGTCCCTATCGGTACGCTAAATCCGCGACCCGACTACTTTGCGTTGTTTTTTCTACCCCGGAGGAACGTTAATCATTACTGCGGTTTGCATTCAAACTTACGGGTAGTAGTGTCAGCGTTTAGCCGATAGTTTGAAGTTATAGGGGACTATCAAAGACCTCAAAACTAGACGGGCGGCTGGTGATCAAAGCCTCCGTCTGTTGTGTTTTGAGGTGAGCAGCGGGAACTTATTTTCCGCCCTAACAGAACCCATCCTGATGGAACACGACCCAGGGTTGGTCATGCCGACTTCCTTGAGGTAGTACTTAGCAACGTGCGTATCCCAAGGAACAAGGTGCGCGAGTTGGGTCTACTTGTAGACAAATCTCATCCCGGCATACTTGCTTTCACTGAAACGTGGTTGTCTCCGGATATCACGGACGGTGAGATTTGTTTACCTGGCTACGCGCTGCCTAGAACTGATCGCTCCGTGGGTCGCCAAGGCGGCGGCGTTGTACTATAATGAGCTGTAACTTAGTTGTGTTGAGGACCTACACATTCCAGTCGTCGGATCAGACTATTGATGCCCTATCGGCGGTTATGTGCACTTTCTCTACCCAGTTTACAGTCGTACTGATATACTGGAGTCCTGGAAGTTCTTCCAGGGGGATAATTGACTTTATACGCGCTCAGTCCGCGAATAAGTGTTTAGTTCTATGGTAATTCAACCTCCCGGAAGTCTGTTGGGCCGATCTTTCTTGTCATTCGGCGTCAGGCACATTCGGTGCAGACTTTCTTGAGCTGACTCCAAGCCCCTTTGCACCAGTTCGTTGACTTTCCCACTAGGTGTTTGGACAACCAAATACCATCTACCTTGGATTTGGTTTTCGCTAAGTCCCGGGACTTCGTGATTGACGTTTCATACGGTGCACCTCTAGGGCCCAGCGATCACGCATGCATATCCTTTCCATATGCTCTTTCAAGGCACCAAGAGACCGCTGTTCAATTACTTCTGAATATTTGGCGGGTGGACTTTAGTGCAATGCGAGCTAAGGCTTCACTTCTGAAGTGTGAGATCTCGATGGCAAACTCAGTCCAGTTAGCCTGGGATAAATTAAAGGCATGCCTTAAGGAAGTTTCTCCTCTCTATATTCCACTCATTAGGAAAAGAGAGTTAAGGGCACAGCCTCCATGCATAGATACCACAGGCAAGTACCTACTCAAGAAACGGTCTAGATGCTTGCGAATCTACTAAGCAGCTCCATCAGCTAGTACCTATGATAGTTATCAAGAGATTAGAAATAAATGTAAGCAACATCTCAGGACTGTTCATCTTCAGTACGAGCAGGGTTTAGCAAACTCGGCCGCAGCTAATCCAAAGAAGCTTTGCTTACGTTAAAAGACGCAGCGGGGCAAAACTGTATATACCAGCTTTATTACGAGCAGACGGGACCCGTGCGCAAGCTAACTATGACAAGGCTTGTACACATAATGATCGGTATACTGGGGTTTTGCTCGGGAGACCTCTTTACCACAGGTTGAATTGGTTTCAAGTTTCAAGTGATTCTTGCTTTAGCTGAGTTTAACATAACGGAGACTCAGGTCTTCGAGCTACTGCAAGGCATTAATCCCTCTAAAGCTTCCGGTCCTGATTCAATTCATCCGAAGCTGTTGCATGAATTGGCCACTGAGCGGAGTGGTCCTCTCACCTACGTGTTTCCAATATCGCTTGACAGCTGCATCCTACCTTCGGAATGGAAGGAAGCAATCATCTATCCGATTTTTAAGGGCGGTAACAGCGCTCTGCCCGCGAACTACCGGCCTGTCAGTTTGACAAATGTAGTAGTCAAGTTGTTTGAAAAGCTGATAAGGGATTCAGTGGAGAACCACCTGAATAGATTCAACCTTCTCAGTGTTGCGCAACATGGATTCCGCAAAGGCTTTTCATGTCAGACTAATCTACTTGTAGCTCGTGAAATCTGGGCCGAAGCGGTAGATAGTGGTCACGCTGTAGACGTGCCATTCGACTTTTCGAAAGATTTTGACACTGTTCCTCATCTTCGACTGTCATTAAAGTTAAGATCTTACGATATATCTGGTCACGCCCTTCAATGGGTGTCTGCCTTCCTTGAGGGGAGGGAACAGTGCGTACGGGTGGGGCGTAGCCTTTCGCTCAAACAAGCTGTCCTTAGTGGCATCACGCAGGGCTCGGTATTGGGCCATTGTTGTTCTCGATCTATATAAATGACTTGCCGGGAGAGCTAGGAGTGTCATCACTACTGGTTGCTAACGACTTTAAGCTCTGGAATATTGTGAATATCCCGGGGGTCCTTAGGCAATGCAGCGTGCCCTGGATAGGCTCTGGGAATGGTCTACCTTATTGTTGATACCCATAAATAGGGCCAACTGCTCTGTTCTCTGAATCGGAGCTGCTAATCCTCCTACCCGATTTGTTGTCGGCGGTGGTGAACTCCCAGTTGGCACTCAGCAGGTTGATTTAGGGGTCGTACACTCATCAGCACTTCATACTTGCGACAATTGGAAGAAGGCTGCTTATCGGGGGTTTCTTATGTTGTGGTTTATCCGCTGCTCTTTCGGAATCCTAATGGCTGATTTGTTTGTGAAGCTATTCTCGGCATTCGTCCGACCCCACCTGGAATAATGTATCCAGGCTTGTCCACCATGTCTTAACCGAGACAAAATGGACTTGGAGAAGGTGTTATGAGTGGGCACTCGGTTAGTGCAGGGTCTACGGGGACAGACGTATCCTGAACGCTTGCTCAGTTTGGGGATGTACTCAATGCACTATCGCAGGATAAGAGGGGACCTGATTCTCACTTATCGTATTTTGACGGATAAGATCGGCCCGGACTTGTCAGGGCTATTTAGTACCGCTACGTTACCTAATCTCCGCCGTCACCCACTGAAACTGCATAAACCGCGGTCTGATATGCTTAGGACGGAAACTCGTCTGTCGCGCCGAGATATAGATCTCTGGAATTCGCTTCCTACCTACGGTTAAGGGTTTTGCGCGCCGGCTCGATGCTCTTGCGTGGCAACACCTAACCTTTCCTTTTTCCTGGCTGACTCACCTTCACTTTTCAGTTCTTTTTTAATGACTCAAATATCTTTGCATTCTACTTGTTTAGCTCTTTCCACTTTCTCTTTTTGCCTTCTGAGTTTACTTTTTTTCTCTTTCTTCACGTAACCGGCCCAGCATGGACTGCTAGGGCAGGACACCTGGGCATTAATTGGTTGCACAAGGTGTGATGCGGTCTTTGTTCTAGGTCCATCAGTATTTCAAAGTCTGCCAACTACTACTGGTTCAAGGACCCACTGAAGAAGGAACACTCACGAAGTAATCCTATCATTCCAATCCCGCTTGAACTTGGATTTTCATAGGTTACCAAAGGTGATTAACACAATTTCAGCATTTATCTCTCTAGATTTTGCATAATTACGTTGCTACAGGCGGTAGAAGGGTTGTCCACTACCCCCAACTTACCATCAGCCGTCTCCTATTAATCCGACGCTCCCACTTTTTCAATATGGATCTGCGGATCCGTGAAATGTTGAGTCCTTTGAAACCTACCCACTTGGTATACCTATATATTTTAACGTGTTTCAAGGACATACAGGATTTTTCCGACAGCTGTGGCATCAAGTTAGATATATTCGTAGTTTCGGAAGCCTTCGAAAAAATGCCCATTTTAGAACGCCATCGGTACGAATGCAAAATTTTATTACGTTATTTAGAATGGTAAATGAACTTCTTAAAGAAGAAATTCCCTCTATTCATGCAATGACTTTGAAAGCTTGGACACCGGTTCAATGGAAATCGTGTCAGAAATGTTAATTGCTGTCAAACTTTCTAATTTTACCTCAGCAGGTCTCATGATACATTGTATTGGTGATACTATTTCTGGTGTTTTTGGACGTTTTGAGAGATCAGGCATTCCCCCTAATACGCGTGACTGGAAATTGTTCGCTAGAGTGACCGTTGGTGCACCTGATCGACCGTTTTGGCTCTTCTGGCCGTCCCATTACTACATATATTGGACGAATTTCGCTCACACAAAAAAGGTTTCCAGTGCAGCCTCAACATAAACTGTGAATTCATTTTTACGACCGTGACTACCCTTCACACTCAATGTAAATCAATTCCCAGGGCTGAAGACATAAGGCTGCATCGTAATCTTTAAGTGACCGAAACTCGTCCCAAATCTTTCACTGGAATAGCTCGGAGTACAAAAGCGATCATTCATCGTCATCCTACCGGTTAATCTTGCTGGCTGAAGGCAAGATTTTACTAAGAAGTAACGAGTTGTAGGCTAACACCGGCGGCGTTAATGGTGCAGTATAATCTTTAATGTAATATCTAGTCTTCTTGGGCCTTTTCTTTCATGGTCTTCTTTTTCCTCTACGATTGTTCGAAAACGCCTGAGTGGGTTGGTTATACGCCGACCTCTGCTGACAGTTGTATGTACATTGAACTCACTCAATACATCATCACGGACTATTTCATTTACACTAGCTTTGCTGCGTCATACTTGTAGGATGTTTGGTCTTGTTCATAAAACCTAGTTCGGTTACAATAAGGTTTTGTTACTCCCAGTATAACGCGATTAAAGCTTTTGTTTACTATATACGGGAAACCGCCACCTATTGGCCTTTACCGAGGTAGTCGGAGGGAGCTGTAGATATGTTATCCTTTTCTCGGATTCTCCGGTATATTGCATTTCTTCATATCTGTGCGATATTCTGGGAGTCTCTCTTATAGTAGGTCACAACCCAACATGTTTATCCACGGCCTCAGTGAATTCTTCATTGGTTTGAACATAGAAAAAAGTGTCAGCTGTACGCCGTAACGACGGTTTGCTGCCTCTCGAACACCACCAGTCGCGCGCGGCCTGAGTATACCGCGAGGACGCCCACCCCTACGCGGATTCGAACCGGGGACCCAATAGTTGCAAACCAGGCGCGCTGACTACTCGGCCACCGGCTCTGGTGGCCTTAAAGTCGTGCGACAGTCATAGCGCCTCTTCGACATACTGAGATCTGATGCTTCTTACCCTGTGCCCTTTGAGAGCTGCTCTCACCGAATTGCGCAGTGGTCAAACGAACTCAGTCTTCTGGGTTTCCAGGTTAGGGAATGGAACTTGGATTCCAGCGCTTGCCGTAAAATCGGCTTGTCACTATCTCTCCGCTGCATTAGAAAAGCCTTCAGAGCCAGACTTAGGTTAAAGAACCTAATCGTTCTCTTTCCCATGTTTGGGCGCGCTGACAGTATCCCAAACCACTCACAACTATCACTATCACATCAAACTTCATCCACGTTTTGCGTCGACTGTTGCGCAGTTTCGTAAGGGTCGCCTCATCTGCTGCGTACAGCAAGAAGGCATCATCAGTACGCCGGTACGCAGTACCGACGCTTCGCTGCCGCGCAACCACCAACAGTCGCACGTGGGCTAAGGATGCTGCAAGGGTCGCCCGATCCCTACGCAGGCTCGAACCCGCGCCCACAGATTACAAGGCAGGCTTGTGATCCTTATGGCTACGGGCCGGCAAAACGGATAAGCGAAAACTTGCTAAGGCTGTAACTTTTCTCTTACGCCTGTTTTTACACTGTATCTACTCCCATTATTAGTCTTCCTTCTATAATTCTCAGCTTGGTGCTAGCTGCAGTATCGCTAGAGCGCTGCCATCTGTTGCTATTGTTTTGCATTACACACAGGATTCCATTCGTTGACAGCCCCTTATCAGGCCACACTGCCCCGCTTCTATGGTAGCGTTCGACGTTCGCCTAGTAGGCAAGCTACGTCAACGAGCTACACTGGACACCCGCGTGTTGACGGCTTATCATGTTGGCAATTTGAATTTATTGCCCTCACGCAAATCTTGAACTAACCGCACCGTCAGTCATTGTCCTCACCTTCTGGGTTGACTGGATTCCCATGAGCAGCCATCTGCAGCTGACCTTTAGATGACATCTACAGAGAGTAACGCATAGAGTAGCATTAGAGGCTTTTTGATGTTTCCGTCTCTGTCCCCACTGAATGCAGTCCAAATACTACGGAAGACACCCTGTTCCACGAGCTGAACACGCTGCTTCACGGCGCCTCTATCTCGGATATCATCTTACTTACAGTGGATATGAATGCACAGGCAGGTCATCTGAGCTCCTCAGAAGTTTAGCCAAATGATAACTTTGCGCTAACCCCGAACGTACGGATAATGGTCAATGTTTCTTCACAACTGCACGTTTGATCATTAGGCTTTTTCTCAGTAGCACAACCTTTATGCACGGTCTGTACGCAAGTGTCACTTGGTTGGCAGGCCAGCGATGTACCCAACTAACACACATCGCCTTAAGTTTGGGAGGTTTCGTCCTGAGCTACCACTGATTCTGGGTTGCGTGCGTCAAAACTGATCCTCCCTTGCTACACTGTCGATTTTCCACGCACTTGGTCGGGAAGGGTATTAAACGTCTCCCTAGATTGGCAACTGCCAAGTTATCGAAGTCCTCGGTCAAACAGACTTGACGACATCGGATCTCATTGGGATTGTATCTCCACTGCCATCTACGATGCAAAACCGTTGCTTGCAACATCATCAGTCATTTTCGCACCAGTCACAGAATATCCGAGAGCCTGTTAGAATCTAAAGAAAACGCTGCTTGTACCGAGCACAGTGTGGCTATCTTTACTATTAGGCACGAACTAAACAGGGTCTGCGTAATGACAAGGAAACCTGGGCACTCAAAAGATTTAAACCATGGAAGTGGCTGCAGCATTGGATAGCTACTGCAGACTCTTCCAAGTGATCCGTATCGTTAGGCTCAGGAACTTATACCTCATTGCAACGATCAGGGACAGTATAGGTGTCCTGTTTCACGATAAGGAACGTTGTTTGGTCTGCTAGGCTAATCACTTTCAAGGTCAGTTCTTTGCTGCTGAATCCTTTCATTCTTGGATGCTGCAGAGCGGACCATAACCGCTTAGCTTAGATAATCTTTTGAAGGCCGGGTTTGCAAATGCGATTACCGTCTCACTTTTTTATACTGATGATCCGGATTCTCCTTCGCTCGCGCTATGTAAGTATGTTGATAAGGTCCCCTTCAAAGCACTTATCCATCTGTTCAGACAGATATGGACACAAACCGACCGAGCCAACTTCAGTCAACTGGTCGTAGTGGCAGTGTTTGTGAAGGTCGGCTGCAATTTTGCACTAAGCATGAGGCCATCCGCCTGATACCGTTGGTGCCATAGTTAACGGCCTCCAGTTTCGCAGGTTGACTTACGGCTGAACGAAATTTGTGCATGGTGAAAGCGCAAATAGGCTTCCGCTCAAGACGGGATTGTATAGACCATCGATTCACCCTACGTCATATGCGAATAGCCTCATACCTACTGTAGGTTGCGTTTCTTGACTTTAAAATTGCCTTTGACTCAGTCGGTCGATACATACTGTTTCAACACTTGAGCAGACATGTCCCCATGTAATATGTGGACCGTTCGCGTGTCCTGCTGTCGAACACAGCTGTCAATTCAGGGTCTACGACGACCTGCCGCATGCTGTTCTGACAACGAGTAGCATTAACCATGGCTGTCCAAACTTCGTCTTTGTCCATCTTTACGAAATTTCACGTTGCGTGCCCTAAGGTGCTTCGTGGTGGAAATCTGGTTGATCTTGTTTATGCGGACGATATTATCTTGGTCTTTGGCAATTCTAGGACAGCCCAATCAACTCTAAATAAACTCTGGAGTAGTTCCATCCTATGACACGCAACTCGGACCTTCGAAGTACGGAGTTCTATTGCACGACGTCCAGCCACTTAGTGCCATCTTGAGTGTAACGAGGAGCTGGAGTTACTTACTAAATTCGCCCATCTTGGTAGCTACATTAGCATCTCCAGGACAGTGGATCTGCTGGTATCGCTACAAAACCTTTGAACGGAAAGGCCTCTGCTGATCCTCATCCCAGCTTGCGGACCGCACACCAACACCACGGTCTATGCTATTACCTCTACTCCGTACATCAACTGCATCGCCGACAAGTCGATCACTTCCCCCTGTTCCCCTCAATGATGTTGTTTTCGAGCTACCATTACCACTAAGTCACTTTCTTCATAAGCTACTCCTTTCTAGCTCAATAACACAATTCAGTTTCCACTTCTACTACCAACCCTCTGCGTTCCTGTATATTGTTTTCACGCTCGTTTTAGACATGTCATATTTTGGAAAGGCATTTAACTGTCTATCGTTGCAATTCTGCTTTTCTATCTACAGTGTTCGGATACCTTGATCTACAACTTGTCAGACGCGTCGGAGGACTTTTCCTTCCAAGCATAGCCATACCGAACATTGTCGCCTGATTTATCCCGCCCATCACAGCACAAATCGTTTAGCTCGTTTTCTGCTTTATTCACACCATCGGTCTACGTTAGAAGGCGCCGCATTATTGGCTAGTGTGGGGACGGTGGTGCATTCTGCTCTTTTTCATAATCTTTGTGGGCCTAATCAATGTCTTCCTACGCGATCAACTGATAACTATCAATCGAACTATAGTCCGAACAAACGCCCAAAACTTTTGGGTTGGTACTGTTCCATTGTCAGACAACTTGGCCCTCGGCGGTATCTTGAAACAATCGCTATCTCTGTGTCCATTTTTTATTTCCATCGATCGCGTGTGTTGTCCGTCGACAACTCATTCACGGAAACTTTCACTCTACAGCTTTACTCATCTGGAAAAGGAGACCGATCTTCCACTGCTAACTGTCACGAGCAGTTTGAGATTTCCCCAATTTCTCAGGACCAAGTTCATCATCGGCTTACTAGCATTTTACTTATCTTCCAATTTTGAAGTGTGACGATACTGTTGACGATATTTCTCTTCTTA